TTTTATAAAGAAATTTAATTTGATAAGGCAGAATCTTTGCATATTTTTAATGCAAAAGCTGGACTCTACAGTGTCTACTAACACACATCGCGCTAGCTACTGACAATGAGACATCACTCCATTAGGATTAGGCACACGGAGTAGCTCTTATACTGATTTTACATTAAATTTATTTTTTTAATACATTAAATAATTAATTATACAATGGATAATTTTTTTATCAACAAAATAAATTTTTATTATAACATGCAATAGACAAAAGACAATAATCTTGTCATTTTCTTAATTTTTTTACTCATCTTAACATTGGCACTCAAAATTTTTAATTTTTAATTCTTAATTTTTAACTACTTAAAGAACTTTTTTAGAACTAAAAGTGTTGATCTTAATTTTATATTAAAAATAATATAATTATAATATCATGTAATATTATAACATTATAACATAATGTATCATTATATGATTAACTCTTTTTATTCAAAAATCTACTTATAATATTATATGTATTTATTTATTTAATGTCATGTCACATTCATTTAATGTCAAATTATAACTATAAGTTTATAATTTTATATGGTATTGTAATTATAAGATTGTTGATTTTATATTTAGTATTGTGCAATTATAACTACCAAATTGATTTTTGATCAATGAAATAAGTGGCAATTCTTTCCTTCTTTCCCCTCCCACTCTCTGCCTTCCATACCCCCATTGCAAACTCACTCTAATTATAATTATTTTGTTATAATACTGTCCTTGTCCTTAATTCAAATGTTAGTTGAGATAGTGATAACATAAACGGTTTATGGTAATTTCTTTTCTAAATGGATCAAAAATTTCTAAGTTTAAGTACCAGACATAAGAGAACAATAAATATAAGGTGGGGGAGAGAATTGTCTTTCATTACACGTGAAAAAAAAAAAAAAAAACCTGTTAAATTGAGACAAGTAAAAACCTTATTTTGAATTGAATCTTGTTTTTCACCTTACTGTTAGAAGCACAAGCAAATTGGACATTGTTCAAGTCACTTTGTCTTTGGAATTTTAGTTTACCCATTTGGGGAGCAAAGCAAAGAATTTATGTTTTGGCTAAAAGCATGAATTCAAATATACAGCGCTCAATCTTGACTTATGAGCTGAACTCGTCAACTCCAACTTGACTTGCGAACTTGAGGTCAGGCTCGATTGATTACTCAAAATTAATTTAAAATTTAAATTTAAATAAAAATAAAAACTTAAATATTTAATATATAATTACCTTCTAATATAGTTGAGTTGAGATAAGCTAAGTTTTCAATTCGACTTAAACCCAACTGAACTTGATCTTTTAAGTTTAAATTTGAGTTCGAACTTGAGTTAAATCAAGTTTAACTCAATTCAAGTTAAATAGTTGATGAGTAGCTCAACTCATCTAAACACTAATTGGAAGTCAAAGAAACAAGAGTGGAGTTGAGTCCACTGTATGAGCCAACTCATTAATTTTTCTGTAATTGGTGGGTACTTGGACAACTGACATTGATATGGATCAACCTGCTGATTAACACAATTGGATTCCGGCCTTCCCTACAATATCATCTCACGTTTGAGGTTTTAAGCATTGATTCAACTTATTAAGAAGTTTAGATTTTAATTTAGCTAAATAAGAGATTTAAATTTAAAATTAAAAGTGTCGAATTTAAACTTTAAATTAGTTGAACGCAAATTTACTCAAAAAAAAAAAAAAGAGAGTATAATTATCAATTTTTATATGGATTTGTTTAAATTGCGCCATGTAAGTTAAGGATATATTAAATATATTTTTTTATCATGAATTTATATTAAAAAATAAAAATTAACATTTAATTTATTAATTGTTTAATTAAATTCACCCATAATATTAAAATTATTATTAATTTTTATAATTTTAATATTATGGGTGAATTTAATAAAACAATTAATAAATTAAATGTTAATTTTTATTTTTTAAT